CGCATTACATGGCATTACATGGCAATAGATGGCAATACATGCCAAGTAATTTTAAGGTTTTTCTGGGAGTACAAGGTTTTATGTCGTATTGCATGGCGATACATGGTAATACATGGCAATACGTCACAATAGATGGCAATACATGGTAGTACGTGGGGAGGTATACGATTTTGCGGAATACAGTTTGTATTTGTATTTGGGCAGCCCTCCCTGTCAGACTAGGGTAGACTAATCGAAGACACCCGTGAAGCATTCCGTAACAAGGGGGAGAAAATGATTTACGACATTATGAAGAAGCATGCTTAGTTTTTTGGCGTGCTCTCGTCGCACACAATAATGTCAACTGAGTGAATCGAAATTGTTAGAAAGTATAATACAGTTGTTAGTTAGCGTTTTGACAGCGTAGTTCCGCAGACTCTTAATTGTTTTAGCAGTTATGCGCATTCCATTAAATATCCCGATACTCCGACTTTAGAAAGTTTTGAAAAATTATATGAGTGTGATGTGTCGATTTTCGTTTCATCAATCTCGATGATGACACTAATAGTATTACGGATATGTGGATTATGTAGTTGACGGTCTGTGTAATATCATGGCAGATTATTCTCATCACTGGTACCGCTATTTCAGATGAACTGAAGCAAAACTAGTCAAGAATAACAAAACGGTGTGGATGTATTTTCTTTGAATAGTTTCGTTTAGCATCAAAATATCATGAACTAGTAATTATTATAGTCATGAAAGCGCATATACTTAGTGTCTGCTTTTGACAAGAATTATCTGTTCAAATTACTTTTGTTAGGAACTCGCACGACGAATTGAACTGCTATATAATTGCACGTGTTGAAAGTATTGCTGGAAATAGTGAATAACTTGTACTCTTTTGGAAATTATTCGTCTATCAATAAAAACTTGGGCAAGACACTAGTCTGACAGATATTGATAGATGCAGCAGTTCTTATTTTCACCTACCATTTGCTAGATACTGTCGTTTAAAGTTCAACATGGTATCTAAACATCCGTATACCGACCGTATCATTCGATCTCGGTAGCATACATGTTATTAGAAAGAACTCGTTCTGAAAGTGAAACATTTTCTGTGACAAATTTTATGAAAACTTTAATCTTCGAAGTTTGTTTTGGTGTATTTCGGTTTATTTTTATTATTTAATGGTTGATTCCGGTTACACAGTAACCAATCATATGGTGAATGCAAACGTGAACTCAGTTTCTATTTTTTCTCAAAATCAAAAGTTCTTCGTAAAATTTGTGTCATATAAAGTGACTTGAAATTATCAACATGTATTTTATTTATATTCATTCTTTCTTTTAGTCTCATTGTACTTAATAAATCGTGTCCGCTTCTCATCACTCAATAGCTCAAAAACTGCTAAAGGAACTAATCTTCTCTGAATCGATTTTTATTTTGCGTTGTTAAAAGGATAGAAGAAAGTCAAAGAAGATAAAATTCAACAGTTTGCAAGGTTATTTTGAATATTTCAGTCACACGACTTTTCTTTCTTAGAATGAGACGATACATGTTCGGCGATTTGAAGGTTGTTTTCAATTTTATTAGAGCTTTTGACCTTCAGGAGCCATTGATGTAATCAACATAAATCTAAATAAATAACAGTCTATGAGTGTTTGTTTCAATTCAACGATGATTGTATTAAAATCGTGCTAAACAGATGAAGACGTATAGTCAGTAGAATTCAAAAGTAATCAAAAACGCATACAGATGGCGTTTCTTGTAGACTAAGGGAAGATCTTTCAAGAACAAAATTCGATGTATAGAATGCATTGAAGGTCCAGTCGTCAAAAATGGACCTCAGCCCAGGAACGTTCGAATGACATGAAATTTTCAGGATATGTTGAGGCTGTTGTGAAAGCTACAGTGGATTTTTCAGCCTGATATCATGATGCTAGAGGGAGATATTCGTCAAGTAAGTGTCAAAAACAGCTTGTTTGGTAACCCAAGTTTCTCAGTCAAGGTCCGCGTGATTTATTTGAATTTATTTTTCTTGGAAAGAGTATGTCAGGATAGACGGCATCACATAGCTCTTTTTTTATATTCTTATCTTTTAAGCAGAAAGAAAGAATTACAAGTTCAACGGCTCAAAAGTCCTCTAAAAATGACGGGTTTTCTAGATAGGTGTTTCCTTATGTTATTAAAACAAATCTTATTTTAAAAAAAGGACCCTATGATGCCCTACGTCGTGACGTACTCTTTCAATCAAAAAATTTGCAATATATTACATAGACCGAGACTACAAAAAAACCGAAAAAGATATTCGGTTTATTACTAAAATGGCTTATTTTTTGAATTGGGAGATGACGGAAATCGTTAAAAACTTTTGTAAAACACGAGATGTCGCGTAAAAATTTTGTCACTTTTGAGATCAGATCACGGGCTATATTCTAGTGCAATTGTCTTAATATCGATCATTCTGTCGAAAAGTGAATTTTAGTTGAGGTAAGAGAGGGCTTCAGGGAAATGCGGGCTTCAGGGAAATGCGGGCTTCAGGGAAATGCGGGCTTCAGGGAAATGCGGGCTTCAGGGAAATGCAGGCTTCAACTTTTCCTTATATTTATATGAAAAAAAGAACATTCGTTTATAATAGCCAAAAAGCTTTGTAATTTGAGAAACTAGTTTTTATATCTCACTTATGGTGTAACTGACTATTGACATAGAGAATGCCATGCACTAGAAATAAGTTTTGTGTAATACACAAAGTTACATTGTCGTCTATCTGGTAGAAAAATTTTACACTCAGTCAAGATGAACATATTCTCATACTTATGCTTCTGAAGAATGATATTATGATAATTGATTAATTAACATAAATGACCTTTGTATAATCATTCAACAGACCAAGTTGTTGCAAGATGTAAGCTCCCGATACAGCTGTTCTTCGGACACTTGCTCCAAACACAGTTGCCTCCCAGATAACTGCTACTCAGCGACACTTGAGAATGTGAATGTGAATGTCGGTTGTGGATGTGCAGTGTTAGTGTGGATGTGAGAGGTAATCTTGTGTTCACTCACATCCACACCCTAAAAGACTTTGGGTGCCTAGGAATCCACATCTGAAATTAGCTTTTCGAAAATTTTCAGTTTTATTTGCGTGACAAAAAATCGTTTGATGAAAACAAAAAGTTCTTTTAGAAAAGAATCACACTGGAAATTTGGAGAAATCGATTTCAGATTTGGGCTCCTCAACCACGAGAACCTTCGATCAAAATTGATATCAAATCACTTTTTTTTAAAGAAAGCTCTTCTTTAGTGAAAAACTCGACTTTAAACTTTGATTTTTTTAAAGTGATAGTGCCACTTCTAGTCACAGAAACGATTGGGTACCACGAGAATTAACTGCAACGTACAGCTGGTCTCGATGCTAGAAACTAGAATTCGTAAAAAAAAGGTTGTTCAGTAATATAATAAATAATTTAGAGAGGTCAACAAAATAATGGACAATCTATTCAACAAAAAGAAACATTATATATGAGTATAAATACAAATGTTTAGAAAAGTCTTCTAGTTAAAAATACAACATTGCACACAAAGTAAGGCGCAATTCCTTTAGAAGTTTACCATAATCCATTTAATTTTTTCTTGTATTGGGCTTAATCTTGCCGCAGTTTTCGCAATTTCATAATTAATACAGTTTTGGTCTTTACGTAACACTTGATAAATACAAAAGGTTACTGTCGATACTCAGTTATCATTAGTTGGCGAGGTCATCTATTTATTCATTCCATGGAGTAAAATCTTCATTTTTCGCTTTCCGTCCTCATTCTTACACTATGTTGTAATAAAATCCCATGTATATTATTTGAGGTTTGTGAAGAACCAAAAGAACCATGCTTCTGTCAAATAATCGACCAGTTCTATACCATGACTAATTGCCGCAGCGCTCTAGGGTTACTGCAACCAACGGTTGTCGCTTTCTCGAAGAGAAGAAATGCGACGTACTGTACGAGCATGACGGGTGCATCCTCACTACCATAGCGGTGACGCTTATTTTCATTATTTTTATTGGTACTCAATGATGATCGCTTATTAAGTTTTTTTACTGGAGCGTCGATAGGAAATCCATATTTCAATTATCGCAAAATTTTAATGCTGAACTGATCTCTTGAATCAGTCCCAATAGCGCTATTATTCGAATATTTTCTATCATTGATAACATGCAGTATCTTGATCGATTTCAATAAGCTGCAAATTACTGTTCGTTAAACTACCAAATAGACCTTCCCAACCATAATTGATTTTGACGAATTACTTTCCCTTTTGTCGTCACTGATGATATAGTGAGGGATTGCCACTTA